GTGACTTCTGCTTGAACATCGCTGTTGAAGGTTTTGATATTCCTTACCGTATAAACTTCTAGTCCAGTTCCGGCCCCTCTCTCATATATACTCTGATCCTGAAACTCCCAAAGTCGCTTGTTTACTAGCAATTCACAATACAGTGAGCGTTATTTGCTGCAAAATTCCCACTATAAATACATGCCTTTTCACTGCTTTCTGCATGCAGAGAAAAACAAGGGGTGTGGTGGGATACTCTCAAACCCAGACCCTTATCTTTGTTTAAAAATACGACTACATCATCATTAAAAATAAGACTGGTGTAACTACGTTACAAAGGTCAATACTCACATAAATCCTTCCCGTGATTTATCTTATTGTTGAGATCAGCGGTGAGATTTTTAAGTAATTTGCCGACAGGGGCACCCAACGAAAATATAGTTCAAAACCACTAAAGTGAAACGTATTTTGGTACGGTAGATATAGGCGTATTTTTATCCCCTAAAAATTTTTCATCTGTTCGGATTTCCTAGCTGAAAGTCTAGTGATCCGAAAATTATAGGGATCGAAACTTACCTTTTCGAAAATTTCAGCCAGAAAAAAGGCTCCCGGAAATTCTAGGTGACCTTTTTACGGTAAAAATCTGTTAAAAATAGGCGTTTATACCATATTTTAGATGTTCGAAAATCCTAAGAGAAGCAGGCAAGCAAGAAATTTTACAACAAATGCTACGAAAATTCTAGATCTCAAATCGTCTTCCGAACAGATATTTTTCCGAAAATTGTCGTTGGGTGCCCCTGTTCCGATGAGGCAGCTGACAAGAACTGCGCGCTAGAAGCCCTGTTTTGCCCATTTGTAACAAAGTAGGGTCTCAGAATGTGGTACTCAGGCTGGTGTGTTGCCGCCGAAAACATAAAAAATTTCTAGCTCGCGCTTTGCGCTCGAGAAAAATGTTGAGCTCGACTTGTGGGTAAGGCCAGTTGGTGTGGAATCCTCCAGTTTTTCCAAAGTTTTTACAAGACACACAGATTCAACGAAATTTTATTGTTGTTGTTGTTTTAATAATGCGACTGGGGGTTTTTTTTCTCTCGCCTCACACGCCCTACGGGCGTGTGAGGCTCGCGCGCTTCGCGCACGTAATGCTCTTACGCCACGCTTTACCGATTTCTTTACTGATTTTGAGAAAAAAACCGACGACTGTTTTGCAGTCTACACCGTACTTTTCAAAGAGAGTTACTGCAGAAAAACTACTATAACACTTCGGCTTGGGCATCGAAGCGAACGGGGTGTTCACCTTGAATTGTGAGTAATATGTGACAGAGTTACCGTTATAGTTTCTTAAGAGATTTAAATATCGTTTTATTATGCTTTTAGTTGCACAGTTGTGGTTTTTTATTCTTTTAGTTTATTTTGCAAATCTGTAGACGTGAGTAGATCGGTTTACGCTTACTGTCTATAAAGGTCACCATCCCTATTGTTTAGTCAAATTCCCTGTTCAGTTACCAGGCTTAATCACGTATTTTTGTAGTTTTGATTTACTTTTTTTTAGTTATGAGTAGGATTGGTATTTTCTTTGGCTTTTTTTTCCTGTACGTAGTTTTTCGTGTTTTTTCGTTTCTCTTTTCAACACCTATTATTTGCAAATTAGGCGTCACTTGGGCGTTTATTTTAATCGCTTCTAATCAGCCTGTCTAATCAGGATGTGATGTATCCGTTCTACGTTTTTGACTCGTTTCCTGTCACATAAGTATCTGTTTACGAGTACCTTTGTCTAGTTTCCTCGAGTTGAGTTAGCTCAGCAAGTTAGCTTTCCTATTTAGCTGTGGAGCTTAACTTCCCCTGAGAAGGTCTCGACCTCTGGTCATTTTTGTGTAACATTTTCTTATTTCGTTGTTTCATTCTCGCACAGTATTAGTCTTTTAAAATTCATTTCTGATTAGCTTTTACTTCGTTTTGTCGTTAGTTTTGTTTGTAATTAGGTTTCCGTTTCCTTTTGTAATAAACATTCATTTAACGTCGGCCCACTGGGGGAGAAATTAATACGTGACAAACGAACCCCAAAGGACGTCTGCGGGGAGGCTAGCCCACTCCTTGCATCCAAAGGATTCATGTCGTTGTGCCACTGCTCTTTGGCCTCCGGCCGCCGGCGGCGTTAGATCGCTCGCGCTGCACGGTTACAATACATGACATGTAGACTAGGCGGTGTAGAAGATATATCGGCTTTACACCTGGCAGCCTTGCGACAGCCTCATCACTTTGAAACTCAAGAAGTTGACGAGTGTGGAAAAAAGGCCCTATAAATAGATTCTTAGTGGTCTAATACCAAATCGCAATCAAACACAAAGAGATTTTAGGAAAACTCACATGGTTCCCTGCTAGCAGAGGTCTCTCATTTTTGCCTCGTCGTGAGAGACCTCTGCTAGCAGGGAACTCACATGGAAGACTTTATTTAATTTGATCAATGACATTTGAGGGCCTAATTTCATTTGCGGTTAATCAAGACTTCAAGACTTCAAGACTTTTTAAATTTATAAATAATTTTATATATTTTCTAAAGAATATTTTTGCAAGTGTCCTGGCACCGTAAATAGCTGTAGCCAGGAGCCCATAACCCGGAGCGTCTAACTTCCATACTGCGCCTATGCAACGGCGTTTTCACAAGCAGGTTTATTTTTAGATAAGCCTTTCCCACTCCTGCTGTAGCTAGTCTAGGCGGGCGAGAAATGATACCATCAGCAAGCTTCGGCCTCCTTCAGTTCAATAAGCGATCAGCCTATATCACTTAAACAGTTAGTTTTTACCTAAAAAACACAATAGAGAAGTAATTTCATGAAAGCGCTTTTTTTTTTTTGTGAATTCTGTCCCACCCCAGCCTGGTAGCTCCGGACGGCTATAACGACGTTAAAAAGGCATTTGATTAGCAAAACGTTCATCACACTTTTTTGAACATTTATTTGCCGTCGTTGCACGACCACGACATGATACTGTCTAATTTCACGTTTTCTGGAAGACGTGAACAAAAGACAGCAATTTTCTAATCTTCAGCTGTAAACTTAGATACAGCCCTTTAGAATTCAACTCCAGAAAAATTCACCAAAATTTGAAAAATTAAAACGACATGGAGTAAATTCAGAGCGATGAATTTCGAAACAGCGTTGATACACTTTTTAACTGGGATGTTTTCGCCACGGTCGCCATTGCTTAAACTTTCTTCTTTAGACAGAGGGTAGTAAAGGGGGGTCTAGATCACGTTTCACGTAAAATAAAACGGTGCTTTCACATTTCACGAAAAATAAAATAGGCATTTCACGCTTCACGGAAAAAAGGCGAACGTTTTTCTTTAAACAAAAGTTACATACCGTTTCCTTTTGAAAAATTACGTCCAAAGCAAAGCCTTGTTTGACGCAAAAAGGAAACCGAGTTCCTCGTTCTACATATCACGAATGGCACCATCTTCCTCCACTGCAAAATCATCAGAGTCGTTATCGGAGGAGTCGTCATCGTATTCGGAGAGCTGATCGTCCCCTTGGTCCCTCGATGTAGGCGCGCCTTCTCTTCCCTCTTCCTTTGAAAATTCAGGTTGTTCTACTCGTTTCAACTGGTGCAAACTCTAGCCGTTCTCCCCGGTGGACAGCAGTCTGATACAGAGGAAGAGTACCAGCCTTATACTTGGTGATTTCTTGTCGGACGGTGCGTTGTCTAACGCACGTACCTTGGTTTGCCCAGTTTCTCATCAGATCTTGGTCAGCTGAACTCATGACAGACAGGTTTTGTTGCGTCATCCTTGGAAAATCTTGAAGGTGAATTTTTGCCGAGTGTACAGGATAATACGATGTTGAGTGTGTGAAGTAAAAAGCGGACCACTGCGTCATTCTTTTTGCTGATTCCCTGGCGCACACATGTTGGATGTTTGAAATGGGAAACTGCGTGGAGGTTCTCGACTTTCACAATGAGGAGAGCTTCAGGGTTAACTGTAAGTTCTGGATTGATTTTTGCGATGTTGCTCTGTAACCTTTCCAGTCCCTGATTTATCATGTTAACAGACCTGATTGTCTCGCTTGCAACAGTTCCTTCAGGTCCATTGGTCTCCTTGCTGTTTTGTTGTTGTTTTTTTGGGGGGTGGGGGGGGGGGGTTTCAACGTATACTTGTCTTTCCTGGCCGGTTAAAGTGGCATTTTGTTGAGTTTTGCAGTTGTAGGTACTTTTAGTGGATAGTACCTACAATTGCAAAACTCAACAAAATGCCACTTTAACCGGCCAGGAAAGACAAGGATACGTTCAGCTAAAGGTATTTTAGCTTTGTTTTGCTATATTTTGCCTTTTGGACTATTTTACTTCATGGGAGTTTCGACGACTCATCCTATTTTGTCGATATGAATTTGACACATACTACGTGTGGGCTGCCTGTGATCACGAGTCACGCAAATACCCTTTACCACCCTCTAGTTACGCCATTTGGCACCTCCGCCTCCCGCTTTTCACCAAACGTGGAAAGAGCATTGCATTCATGTTCATGAAACAAAGATAGCCTCCATGGCTCAAAACAATACATCATTTATTGAAGAATCACTTTGCACACAGCAAACCTGGTGTTAGGGTTCAGTTCGAAGACTTTGCGTTACGGGCGGCCATCTTGGATGAGTGTCAAATCTACTTAGAGGGCGTCGGGCGGTGGACGGTTTTGACCCGACGCCCGCCCCCTCGGTACAAATGAAACCAAGATGGCCGCCCGTAACGTATCAGTAACGTAGTCTGCGTGCGAGTAACGCAAAGTCAGTCGACGACGGACGGCTTACAAAAAAAATATGGGACTGTGTTAGGATTGTCAAACCCGTGTTTAGCTTTGTAATACGACCCCTGAGGGGCTCGTCACGCAAGGCAAATAAAGCCGGTGTCTTGAGACTGCTTTTGTTTGCAAACATCGTCGCTGGCACCACTGGAGGCGTACAATACTCGGTCGGCAATAACTCCAGCGCAAACAACTCCTTCGGTCCTACTACACTGATACCAGGAAAACTGTAATGAGTTCATCAGAGGAGAAGACGAATACTTTTGCGTATACATCGTTTTGTGACGAAATTCATGACTCTGTATCGTGTGAAGGTCCAAAACGTGAAGGAAACTTTAAAGTTTACAGGCGAAGATGGTATATTCTTTTTGTATTTTCTATATGCTCTGCCTTAAATGGCATGAAATGGAACACTTGGGGTCCAATTCAAGGTACCTCGCAAGTTGTATTTGGTTGGAGTGATACGACTATCACACTGATGGTGGCCTGGGGACCGATAGTTTATATCATTTCCTTTTTGCCAATATCGTGGCTCATGGATACTAAAGGTGAGAATATACTAAACTGTGGCAAACAAGGCTTGGTAGATTGATATTTTTTTTTGTTAATAATGAGGGTTTGAGGGACATAAATAATACAAAAACACTCCACATTGACCGTCCTACAAGAATTGTTATCTTGAACTCGTGACACTTGATACGATTCTTAGGAATGCCACCTGGATTGGATAATCTAAAATTAGGATTGGACCATTGACTGTGATCACTTGACTGGACTCTGGCGTATACTCGTTCTAATTACAGTTTCTTGAACATTTGGTTGTTAATTTTAGGTCGAAACAGAGATCATTTTGTCTTTTCCACTCAACACCTTTGCTACTTTAAAAGCAACAGCAAACGTTTTCCGTGTTTGCATAGCCTGATATAAACACGAGAGGGGTTGGGAGAATTCAAGACAGTTATGCAAACACGAGACGAAGTCGAGGGTTTGCATAACTGTCGAGAATTCTCCAAACGCCTCGAGTGTTTATATCAGGGTATTCAAACGCAGGAAAAAAATTTCTATTGCTTTTATAAAATAAATTTCCCGTGAAAAAACACAAAACTCTTTGTATGGCACTGATTAACCCATTCGCCCCTGAACCGCCCGTAACCGCCCGTGCAGATCCAGGTCCTTTCTACCCTTTGTGACGTCATCAGTTTTAACAGTCAAGGACAACTTTCTTCGCTAACTTGTGCAGAGTGAAGAGATCTTTCACACCATACCAGAATGAGCACAATTCAGTCAAGGACACCGGAGAAAGAAGCAAAAAACCACGTGACAAGGACCTGAAAATCTCCATGAAAATCTTGTTCCATTACCCACCTACCTTTCCTTTCACCTAATCCTAAGATCCTAAAAGCTTTCCTAAAAACTCTTCCCACCAAAATGAAGCCTACTAAATGCCCAGCAAGAGAAAAAAAAATGAGGCAACAAAAGCGAAAAAAGAAGGGAGGAGAGAAAGCGAAAAGTAAAAGTCAAGACTGCTGTGTCACTTTTAAACCCAAAAACTATGTCAAAATTTTGCTTTCTGTGCGTGCCCGAACTTCGTAAGCTGATATTTTGCATCTGGATCAGAAGGCCGCCAAGTGTACAACCTGTAAACCGGTTTGTGGTAAGTTTTAGCTCTTTATAGCACGACAGTGACCAGAAAACCACTCGACTAGCCTCAAAACGCGTTTTTCGGCAAAATCTCCAGGAGCGAATGGGTTAAGCAAAGTACCAAGCTTTTTGGAAAAAATCCACTTTTCAGCATAAAACAACCAAATCTGTCTATTTCATGTAAAATCAGGTGAAAAAGTTGGTAAAAGGCCATTTTTAGGTTTTTTGATTAACCCATTCGCCCCTTAACCGCCCGTAACCGCCCGTGCGGATCCAGGTCCTTTCTACCCTTTGTGACATCATCAGTTTTAACGGTCAAGGACAACTTTCTTCGCTAACTTGTGCAGAGTGAAGAGATCTTTCAAACCATACCAGAATGAGCACAATTCAGTCAAGGACACCGGAGAAAGAAGCAAAAAACCACGTGAAAGGACCTGAAAATCTCCATGAAAATCTTGTTCCATTACCCACCTACCTTTCCTTTCACCTAATCCTAAGATCCTAAAAGCTTTCCTAAAAACTCTTCCCACCAAAATGAAGCCTATTAAATGCCCAGCAAGAGAAAAAAAATGAGGCAACAAAAGCGAAAAAAGAAGGGAGGAGAGAAAGCGAAAAGTAAAAGTCAAGACTGCTGTGTCACTTTTAAACCCAAAAACTATGTCAAAATTTTGCTTTCTGTGCATGCCCGAACTTCGCAAGCTGATATTTTGCATCTGGATCAGAAGGCAGCCAAGTGTACAACCTGTAAACCGGTTTGTGGTAAGTTTTAGCTCTTTATAGCACGACAGTGACCAGAAAACCACTCGACTAGCCTCAAAACGCGTTTTTCGGCAAAATCTCCAGGAGCGAATGGGTTAAAAGAGAAATTCTAACCAGTTACAAAGTCTTGTCCACGAAGTCTTGCACGCATAATCAGTTCTTGTTTTGCAAAAAGATGCTTTCCAAAATACGGACTTTTCTCACTTAAAATGTCTGGTTAAGGATTGTAACGATTTTCCAAGTTTCAGCTGACGAAGGAATGGGTAAAAAAAGTAAACATGTCGAGTTTGAACTTGAAAACTTTTTCAAATTCGTGCTTGCGTGATTAGCGCAAAAAACAAAACATCTTGACGCCACAACCACGTTTAAATACTCTCGTGCAAACACTCCTCTCAGCCAATCAGATCTAGAGTGCGCGTACTATCTTAGTTATTTTATAAATCAGTATATGATGCTGCATCATATTATACTAATGCAGCAAGAACCAATTCGAACCAGTTTCTGTTACAAATGTACAACCTTCATTATGGGTAAAGAGAGTGACGAGAAGATAATTCATCAACAGGTTTTTGCTAGGCTCAGCCGCTAATGATTTAGAGTACAAGTTCCGCAGCTTTACTAAAAAAAGTGATCATGATTCTGGCCTTAAAAACAGCATGGATTTGAGTACAGTCCAACCTCTCCACAAAGGCCACCTTGGGGACAGATGAAAGTGGTCGTTGTGGAGAGGTGGCCATTATGTGGAGGTACATGTAGGGGGCAATATGACAATTTTTTTAAAAGAAGTGTAACATGTTTATTGTGCTTAGTTCTTGCAAACTGTATCTCATAATGGTAATCTAATCATATGAAATAATTAATTATAGACATAAATAGAGGATATTACGTGGCCTTGCAGAGATACGAAATTTCTCTTCGAGTGTTGAAAAATATTTCATGAGTGAGCGCAGCGAACAAGACTAGTGAAATATTTTTTTCAACACGAGAAGAGAAATTTCGTTTATCCAAGCGACCATGTAATATTCTTTTTATTATATAAACACCAATGAAATGCCAAACCATTTCATTTAAATAGTTTTTTGGTCTGAAAGGTGCGGTTTATTATGAAGCCATAGCAATGGTGATATTTTCACATGTGAAGATAACATGTTATTTTCACATGTGAAGATAACATGTTATTTTCACATGTGAAGATATCAAGTTTTCGCGCGAAAGCTCACTTGGTATTTCATTGGTGTTTATATAATGAAAAATGTTAATGTGACAAAATGAGCAAGGTTCGCAACATTCGTCATGATTATTGTAGCCAATTTATGCTTACTGCAGCAGTATAAATGGAAACCAATCAAAACACAGTTGCCACAATTAATTAATCATTAATGCACCATATGGATCAAACTTCATAACCTGATTTTTGACTTTTTGATCAGTCGCTGAAAAAACTGGCCATTGTTAAGAGGTTATTTTGGCAGTCGGAGACATGCTTTAACTGGCCGTTGCCATTGTACAGATGTGCCCATCCCATTGCAGAGTGGTTTAAACAAGAGTCAGTGAATAGACTGTCTGCCAGGACAAAAAAGGTGGCCATTGTGGAAGGGTGGCTGTTAGTGGACGTTCGACTGTATAAACACTGCTTACAATTTTACAAGGTGTAAATGTATTTGCATACATTTTTATGGAGAAACCAAAATGGAATTACGAGTTATATACCATAAGCAAAGACAACTGCCCCTGATGTCAACTATATTCAGCCTCGTTCCAAGGGTCCACTTATAAGAGAGAAGAATCCAGAAACAACTTTGGACAAGATTTTGCATTCATCCAGTCTACAATCAGTCAAACTTCTTCCCGTATCCACAATGATGTCCTTTTCTATTTTTGTCCTGGCTGACAGTCCATAACAACTGACTTCTTCACAAAGCATGTACAAGATTTTTGTCCACTGAAAATCAAAATTACTCAATGTCCTGGTGGATTCCGTCTTAATTCCTCTTGATACGACTGTAAAATCCAGGCGAAAAAAAAACTATATATGAAAACTGTCAGGAGGCAAACAAAGGAGTATTATGGGAGATATGCCATTGGAAATTTTTTGAATTGCCATCCCAAGGCTCAGTTTCAAAGCGAGGCTAAGTGCAAAGCCATTGTCTTGGAAACAAGACATATTATCACAAGAAAGGTTTTGCACATTGCCTTGTTTTGAAAGTAAGTGTTTTGGAACTGGTTAGCCTGACTGTGTAGCAGGCACTTGGAAGTAGTGGGTGGCCGTTCACGTGCCTGTTCTTTTTTGCGCCCACTACTTTCAAGCCCTTGCTAGGTAGGCTAGAACTGGGAAATGGCTAGTTTTTAGATTTAGCAAAGACAAAGTAACGACAGAGATGATGATGGCATGTGCAGATTTAAAAATGAAATTGAACATGACAGAACAGCCAATTAAGCTGATTTGATGTTGTGTTGTCTGCTTAATCTACCTAATAACTTGTCCAGAACAGTTTTAAAGCGAACAATGACAATTGCAATTTTGTTCACTCAACGAGTATTGCTTATCTTTCCTTTGTTGCCCTTTTTCCTTTATTTGTGCATTCAATTCAGGTTTATTGACACATCGTGATTGTATTTGCTTTTCAAGTTGCTTCTCAGCATTTATAAATTAAACTTAGTGGTCTAATTAATTAGTCTAATTACCTCTTCTTCCTCATATAAGCTCTTTTGCCTTTCCCTCAAAGGTAGTGTTGATGAAAGTATTGACTGTAGTGAAATAATGTTTAAGTGCCGTCTACTCTGCTTGGCTCTAGGAGGAAATGTTTGCTTTTGCACAATCAGCAAATTAAATACTTATGTGCTTTCCAGTCAGTTAACATTAATGGCCTTGATCAGTAAATGAGATTCTCTGTTGATGTGACTTACTTTTTATTCTTTTTAGGTTTGAGAGCATCTATTCTCCTCCTAGGACTTTGCAATTTTTTCGGAACAGCCTTCCAAGCTATTCCACTTGTTGATCTACAAATACAAACATGGCTTGCTCATACGGGGATGTTTCTAAGTAGTATAGGAGGTCCTGTTGCCATGGCATTAGGGCCCCTTATTTCTGCGATATGGTTTCCTCCTGATCAACGCACAACATCAACAGCAATTGCATCATTGTCTTCCTATGCTGGGGCAGGGATGGCATTTATCATTGGCCCACTGTTAGTCCCAGATGTGGGTAACCATAGCACGAGCATTGGCAAAAGTATTGACTACATAAGTATTCGTAAAAATATGACTAACAGCCAGTTGAATTTTCTTAAGGAGAAAATCATGTTTCTTATGTACATTGAACTAGGAGCAGCAGTTCTGATTTTACTCTTGATAGTGGTGTATTTTCCAAAGAAACCTCCACTGCCTCCTTGCCTAACTGCAGCGAGTGAGCGTTTGGATTTTAAAGATGGCTTTAAACACCTCATGTTCAACAAACAGTTCTTGTTGTTGCTATTTATCAATGGAATGACCCTTGGCATTTACAGTGGCTGGACGTCTATACTAGACCTAACTTTGTCGCAGTTTGGTCTGGGAGAAAAAACTGCAGGGTGGCTTGGATTTGGTTCATCAGTATCAGGAATATTGGCAGCAATTATACTGTCCAGGTGAAACATGTTAAAATTTTATTATATCCATTTTGAAATAACTGGAGATCCCCGCAATCTGATTGGCCCTCAGCAGCGTGATTCATTCACGAATAACACCATTTCTTCCTCTTTATTATATCCATTTTGAAATCACTGGTGATCCCTGCAAGCTGATTGGCTCTCAGCAGTGTGATTTATTCACGAATCACTCCATTTCTTGCTCTTCATTATGTCCATTTTGAAATCACTGGTGATCCCTTCAATCTGATTGGCTCTCAGCAGTGTGATTTATTCACGAATCACACTATTTCTTGCTCTAAATCACATGTTCTAAACCGCACCAGTTCTGTTTTAAATCGCACCAGTTTTGCTCTATATCGCGTCATTTCTGTATCAAATACAAAATGAGATGTAAAAGCCTTTTTGTTTCTGCTTCTCAACAAGGCGGCTACTTGATCATTAAAATATTGGTATTGACTGAACTCTGTGATTTCAAAATGGCTGTAATAAAGTGGTAATTGAACTTTGTGTCGTGCAATTTTGCTCTGAAATCATACTTGCGAGTCTGAAATCACGCGTGTCATTTTAGACCAAATTGCACTCCACTCTGTTCAATTATGATAATTAACCGTTTTTATTGTGCTAAAAGTGCAATAAAACTGACATTTTAAGTCAAGAGTATTGAAAAACGGAGACCTACATGTTTACTTTCACATACGAGATCTTTTTTTTTTTTTGAAATACTTTAATATATTCGACACCAGAAATATATCCCGATCTGTTCCTCGGCCGTATTATTTCAGTTTTTTTCGGGGTGAGAGAGAACGTGCCGCCCCCCCAAAAAACGTTTCGGACCAGGATATCCGTTTCTGTATAAAAACACCTGAAGATTGAATGCTATTGAGAGCGAAAGATTTCACGTTTACGACAACAGAAAGTTCATTCTGCCCTAAGAGCCAAAGGAGCCACTCATTTTTCGTCTCTGTAGGTATTGATTGTGTCAAAAATACGAATATCTCAGGAACAAATACTAGATAATCTGGTCGAGTTAATAATGAACAAAGAACCGTTCAGATTCCTTTTGCCGTTACAATATTTTTATTTCCACAAATTTTGATCACGACAATTAATTTTCATACTCTGGTTTATCCACAGACTCGCGGACCATCTATCTGGACACATGAAAGCAATCCAGTTTGTTCTTCTGGCTGGCGCTACCATCTCCTATGGTCTATTCACATTCATCTGCGCAGGAATTATTCCATATAACAAGGCCATTCTCTTTTTAACCTGTATTCTTGCAGGATTTTTCACTAATGGAACCATTCCGTTATTCTTTGAGATGGCCGTGGAAACTGCATACCCTGTCGCCGAGGGCATCACCTCTGGTTTCGTAACCGTTGCCGCGAACCTTCTTCAGTTGGTATTTTACATATTTCCCATGTTGCCAAACTTTGGGTTAAAGTGGATTAATTGGTGTATTTTTATAACGTATGCGCTTTCTGTTCCGCTGCTTGCGTTGTGGAGAGAACGATACTACAGATCGGAAGTTGATGATCAAGACAAGCAAGCACCAGTAACTATTAATTAGACCAAAAAAAACATGTTATAATTAATATCATTGCTTTTGCTTCCAAAAGCTCGTCAATGATTCATGAAAGAAATACCATACCATCTAAAAACTTGTTATTGGTCAAGCCTAAGACCTTTAGTAAATTAGTAAGATTTATGTTTAAGATTACATGGGTTTGAATCGAAAAGGGTAAGGGTCCGATATAAAAATCCATTTTTAATCACTTTAAATTAATATAACTCCCTAGGTTTGA